ATATATATATAAAAGCAGAGAAACATTAGTTTGTTTCTGCCTAAATTGGATCTATGCAGACTGCCCTTGCATTTTTAACTCTGTTGGCTACTGGAACGAAGCAAATAACTTACTGATGAAAGTTTGTATTCCTTTTCTAGCCTTCAATTCAAACTCCAGGCAAATCAGCATATCTACATTGTGATAATTCTTTTCATTCTGTCGACAATTGGAATTCAGCAAATACATGATTTAAGGATGGATGTGATGTTTTCATTGTCTAGTGGCCAAGTTTTAGTTAATCCTCTATGCTAAGCTTTCAAAGAGGAATGCCTTTATCATCAAGGTACATGGACTTGTAATGTGTGATGAGCAGGTTACATTGACAATAGAGCCAACGTGCAGGCAAGGTTCACTCCATGTTTAAAGTTAAAACTTTTGGTCCAACACAAAAAAAAGTTCTCTCACCTAGACCTTTCGACCAGTCACTCTGGTCTTCCTCAGTAGACTGACCCAGTGAAGCTGGTCACGTGGCTTCTTTGAAGTGTGACGTCAACACTGGGTGAGAGAACTTTTTTGTGTTGGACCAAAAGTTTTAACTTTAAACATGTAACTACCAACACAGATGAACTTTCATGATAAGGTTCACTCCAGTTGTGTGGTATAATACAGCAGACATTAATTAACAGGGGAAGAAATGCCGTCACGACGTGTTGAAAAGAATAACAGGTTTTTAACGTATCACAACATATTTGGTACAAAGCATACATCGTTACACAGTTCATTTCAAACAACACAGTTGAAGGTCCGTTGTGGTACATCCGGGACACAACATAAAAACCAACCATGTAACTCACAGACAAGCTCTAGGTAGGTTGCACACTGTGATATTGTTTTTCCACTAGGTTGGATACAATGTCGTCTACCTGACTATTGAGAAAACATGTCAAATGCCATGGCAACACCAACTTGGCACATTCTTTGTTCTCCCACAGCAGAATCGAGTAATTTCTTTCTCAGTTCATCTTTAGTTTTAAATCGTCGTCAAGCCTTGGAGGAAACTAATCATTTCATTAAGTTATATTTTTTGTCATATACCGATCATATAGCTGTGCTACAAATTCATGCATTGTTGATGCTTGTTGTCTGTAGCTTGGTCATTCTGCTCTATTTATACATACATTATCTGTTTTTTTCTTCTCTTCTTCTTCCTTGGCTACAGTTACTGGGTTTATACCGACACAACAGTGGCTGCTGCTTTAGTGCGTAGCTTTACCCCCAATGTACAAAACGTTTTCCCCAAAGCCAGGCTCTGTCATTACATAGTGCCAGCTTGGAATAGCCCCCGCCCGTCCACCTAACCCAGTATACAGGTATCTACTGTGTGCTGTACATACTACATGTATAGGCCAACTGTTCAAAAGCTTAGTATGTTGTCTACAGGACAGCATATAGCCACGATACGGGCTTCACTATATATATATATATTTTATCAAGAGAACTGTTAGCTTGGCATCCCCCACCCCACCGTATGTGAAATGAGCCTGCTGTGCCTATGCCCAAGGATATATTATTAAGCTTTATATTTCATTTACAGATACAAGCTTTAGAGCAGCCTACAATTTTTCTGGGAGGAATTCACTAACCACTGCAGCAGTCGTCTATATTAGTACGCTTTCCACAATCCTGATTTGAATTTCTTCATCATCTAATGAGTAATTTTAACTTAATGTGACGTATACATTCCTGATGAAGAGGTGAAAGTTACAAAAAAATTCTACTACTTTTAAATTACATGAGACTTGGCAATACAATTCTTATGGATTCTAATATTGCAACCTTTTCAGTTTGAATTTCAAGTCTTGTGACATTAAATAACAGAATTACAGAATAAATGTCATCTTTACATTGAGGAGAAGCAGAGGAAGGTAGCATTCTGACCAAATGAACTATTTCATGAAATTATACAGTGTTGAGCCAACCATTCTGGGAAAGTGTGAACCTACGTTTTGTATCACAGAACATAAAACGCACAAGACAATTTTGGCCTTCATAGTTCCAACAGAGTACATTTTTTTCTTACATTGTGATCGATTAAAAACACTGCAAGGAATTAAAACACATGAACAACTCAGTAAGAGACAATTTGCAACATTCTGCATGGTTAAACATGATTCTCGATAATTTAAAACAGATACAGAAGAAACAGACTTAAAACTAATTTGTACAGCATTTCATTTAAATACGCCTAAGAAGATTAAATCCACCTTTTCTTGGTTCGGGTCATTTGACACGTGAATCTGAGGAATGATGACAAACATGTACTACTAGACCAGTATTGTCTTGTGCTGTGTTATGCTAAAATCATCCTCCAATTTGCAACAAAAAAGCACTGTGGGTTACGGGGTTAACGACAAGTAATGATAAAAATTTCTGACACTTGGAATAAAATCAAGTGTAACAATAAAAAGATGGCAGCAAAGCTTCTGGGTGTTTTACAATGGAATAATCCTACCTGAATCAATAATATAAAAAGAGAGCATGGCCAGAAAATGCTACTTAGAGGGAAAGACAGTCAACATGAGACAATAAAAAAGAAATTTAACATAATTACCCTTCTTTTGCCTCAAAATCGATGTTTGAACAGCTACAAAGTCCTACAGATTTATTTGTCTTACAAGCAGCAAATATCGCAGAAAATCATATATAAAATGGCTAATGGTACATGTGTATACACAAGACATACATACATTGTAATTACATGTTACAACACAAACATTGCAAACTGTGGCTTCCTTTCCACACATATCTCATCAGCTACAGCCATATCTTTGCTTGGTTTAGTTTGAACATATCTACACATGTATGTGGATTCTATTAAAGAAAAAAGGAACACATTCTTCAAGATCCAAGATGTACTTCAAGAAGTTTAAAGCTGTAATTAGGTAAAATCCAGCTTGGGTTCCAGAAAAAGTACAGGACTGTGGCTTGATGTTGAAAACCTCGTCCTGTGCCTTTTCTGATTTTGTCAACAAACCGAGCAAAAATATGGCTACTAGCCTTGGACATGCCTGGTTGAAACTGTCTGCCTCAAACGGAGGACTCTGTGCTCGTTTGGTTCTCAAGCATCTGCCAAATCTGTCCTTCTTCCCCTTCTTCGCTTTCGCTTTCCACCCCGTCGTCGTTCGTTGCTTCACGTACGCCGACCTTCCGCGCATCCATAATCGATTCCGCCTGCCTCCACAGTTCGCCCTCAACTTGGTCAACAAAATCCTCTGCTGTGCAAAGAACATCCAGACTTATAATTGCCACATGGCGCAGCCAATTTGGTTGCTACATGTACATACAGCAAACAAACTTGAGGTAAACGCAAAAGATTTCGTCAAAACTACCGGTAAGTCATGTTGATTGTACAGGTTGATGAGTTGCTTGAGGAATAAAAACACTTTAAAATTTCTGCTCTTCATCTTTCCTGCTTGTAGAAACTACAGTGCAGTGCAGTACAGCTGAGAGTCTGAGAAGGATACAGCACATAAAAAACATCCCTAACACTGCTTATAAACCAGACTGCAGACATCTATCTACTGCCAGCTTGCAACAAGCCTTTCGAGTCATTTAAGCTGGCTCTCAGATGCACTACAAGGACACTCAGCAGTGGGTGTTCGCAGTGTCGGGATGGCTGGAGTTTCGGACTACAAGTGGAGCAGAGTTTTCCGGTGGAGAGGCCTACGCCACAGCTACAAGACTACACAGACTGCGACAGGTGGTGGTGGGGAGGGAGGTGGTTCCCAGTGCGTGGCTACAGTCAGAGCAGGTCTGTAGGAAGGAGAGGGAAGAATCAGAAATGGCCTGCAACTACAAGGAGGGGTCTACTACACAACTACTGGTAACCCGAGCAAGTTGGCAGAAAGTACTGTGGCTGTGTGAAAACCGTATTTGTCAGTGTCGCATCTGAATTTTGCCTGTAGCAGATGGTATCTTTTTCGACACAAATTTATAAACTGCAGATGAAATACACGAATATGACCTTAAATGAGATGTTCTGCCGAAGTGCAGTGCACAATACAGTATGGGTTTTGCGCAGGCACCATACATTTTGTACGTTCTGCCAATGTGCTGGGAACCTGATATCTACATGTAACAGCCATATTATATAATAGTTCAGGTGCTCTGGAAGATTCCAAAAGATCTCCAAAACGTATCAAAACACTATCAATTTGTCATCCTAAAAGTTTAGAATAATCTCAACGACTGTTACACAAAAACAATCCTACTTTAGCATATTTGCATGCAGGATTTTTGCAAGATTTTCACACATCCATGACACTTTTGAATATCTCTTGTAGTGTTACTCACCATTAACGTTCTCCTGTACAGGTTTCTTAATGTCTCCGTTGACGAATGCTATTATAGGCTGGTTGTCGGGTTCTATGATATCCCCTCCGTCTAATTGGCTAGTCTTGTGCCCGTCCCCAATGTCTATAAGGTCGTGGACCGTGGACCCGTTCTGGTGAGGGGCCTGAACGTGCTGTACATTACTGCTATCTAGGGAAATAAGCTCCTCGAAGTCCCCGGCTCCCTGGCCTGGTGCAGGCTCCTCGGTGGCCGCCGGCGCTTCTGGGGTCAGACCCAGCTGGACTAGGACCTGGTCGGTGATGTCAGGCTTCTCCGCACTGGGAAGAATAGGGAACATATAATGCATGAGAGAGAGTTACATACGTTTGTACATATAAAGGGAAAATTGAAATATCAAATGGACTCTTTTAACTACTGTATTTACCACGATTTTGTCCAAATTATGAGGTCACAGCAAAAACAATGAAAATGAAGCCCCCTCCCGAAAGTTTTGCCATTTAAAGTAAAGCATTTCTTTCTATTAAGTGAAACACTTCTAGGTGTGACTGAATAAAAGCGCTATTTGGGAACTACCGTATGTGCCTCCAAATGTCTTACTGAGGGACTATGGTGGTGTGCTAGATGTCAGTATACGTAACATGTATATTGAAACACAGCCAAGGAATCAACAGACAAACTGCCTGTATCCCTGTAAATGCCTTCACTTTGACAGACTGACAGAAACAAGCTAACCTGTCTTCAGCAGCAGCACCCGATACCTGACTCGCAGGACCCCCGATTTCTGCCAGTTCGTCAAACAAGCTCTTCCCTTGTCCCGCATCTTCCTGGGGCATCGCAGGGGGTCCCTCACTCTCACTCTCCTCCTTTTCACTTTCACCCTCGGCTCTTCCTCTGTCTACTGTCTCCTTGGCAACGTCTTCTGTAACCTGAGAAGGCTCCTTGGTGGGACTTTCTGAACCGGCGTCGCCGCCAGACTCTGTCTTCTCTCCCTTATCCTGGGCAGAACAATACAGTGGTAAGGAGTGATTTGAATGTAGTGGGGGATATTATGTACAGAAAGACATGTCAGCAGAATGGACTGCACCTGCACAAAACTCGGGATTTTTCAGTTTTTGTTGGATGTTTGGTCAACATAAAAATTTGCGTATTGCAGATGATAGTTTTCTACACATTTGAAAACTTAGGACAGCATGTCATCCTTAAATTCATGAATACAACCTGAAATCAGACGTTCTGCTGAAAGTGCTACGCACAATACATTAAAGATTTTACACAGGCCCAGCACATTCTGTCGACGTGCTTGAAGAAAGTACCAAATTCCACTATGCACATCAAACAATGTATCACTGCTCCTTACCTTGCCTGGGGTTCCACTCTTTCTTGTTCTTGACATAATCATCTCTAATCTCTGGAATGAAAAACAAAACCCAAGTTTTTACTATGTAAAGTGCTTTGAGGAACTTATCAAGCAAAGAAATTAAACACGGGTCCCGGCAATATCGAGAGGTGGTTTCGGGGTCTTGATGATCGCGAGGCATCGTCCTAGCTTAACACAATGGCAAAGAAGATGAGAAGACAACACCCCTCTCACCTTCTTCCTCTCCTGCCGTTCCTGCTCCTCCTTCGCCAGTCGCTCCTCCAACTCCCGCTGGCGCTTCTCCGCCTCCTCACGGGCCTTTCGCTCTTCCTCTTCTCTCTGGTTGGTCAAAAACATCATAAATTAACAGAACAGGTCATGTCAAGTAGGATAATACAACATGTAAGAGCCTAGCCTCATTCTGGTGTACAGAAGGTGTGAAATGGAGCGAGATGGAACGAAATCAAGTGAAATGGAACCAAAAGGAGCAAAATTTATGAGACTCTTCTCTCTGGTTGGTCAACAACACCATAAAATAACTTGTCTTTTGACATCCTCTACTGAGCATGATCCTTTTTCAATAGTGCAATGACGTTTCGTTATGGCTTGTGTATTTAGGGGTGGCTAATAAGAGATGGGTGTTTGCCAGGCCTCTATCCGAATGATTTCAAGTATCGCACACCGGGGCATGCCCCTAATCGCTGTCGAAAGGTGTGGTGGGTTCTTCGAATTAACATAACAGGGTAATCAGTTCAGGAAAGTAGAAGAAAGTTAAGTGTGCAATAAAAATTGGACCAAACTGGAGGGAAATATCAAGCAACAAAATGTATACACAGATGCAAAAATGTATATCTATTTAATGTCCACTCCTGTATTTTAGTGCTTTAAAGTTCCCATTTTGCTCCATTTCATTCCATTTTGCACATTCTATACACCCACGTCAAGGACTGTTCTTCAAACATCATCCTGCTTACCTGTCTCTCGAGCTCTTTCTGTTTCTCTTCTTCCTCTCGTTTTTGTTTCTCGGCTTCCTCGATAGCCTTTTTCAGACGCTCTTCCTCTGCCTTTCTGTACTCCTCTGCCAGGCGCCGCTGCTCTTCCTCTTGTCTTGCCTAAGTAGTGAAGTGGAACTCATCAGTTGGGTGGAATGATTACTAGTACATTTACTCATCACAGTTTACATCTTTCTTTATCTGTTATTAGGTACATTTATCAACCAAGAATTGAGGTGTTCCAACAACTACCGTAGAGTGCAACCAAGCACAGTTGGGGCATCAAGCTGGTGCCTGTGAAGCTGGTGTGCTACATTTGTACGCCAAAGGGTGATTATACTGTGTACATGTACATAATACTGATACAGATGTATGACATCCCTTTGGTGTAACACACCAGCTTCACAGGCATTTAAAGCTATCTAGTGATAATGCCCCCACTGTACTTGGTAGCTGTGAGTTCCACCCTACGATAGATCTAGGGAAGACATCTGACTATTTCTCGCTCTTTTCTGAGCTGGATTTAGATACTTAGTACATGTAGTTGGTACATCCTCCAGTTCATACGTAATTTTGTACATTTGTATAATCATGCATAGCCTGGACATTTCATTTTTCTCCTATTTTCCAGTCACACCCACAGTAGTTTTTTCCAACGTGTTGCCCTTTTTAAATCAACTACTAGTAGTTCATTTATTCACACAAACTTGTACCTCCTCCTCAAGTCTTCTCTTTTCCTCTTCCTCTGCCAGGCGTTTCTCCTCCTCCTGTCGCAGTCTCTCGGCCTCAGCTTCGCGCTCCCGCTGCTCACGGACCATACGCCGCCGCTCTGCCAGGGCAGCCTTCGCTGCCTCTTCATCTGTCAGGGCTGCCTTGGCTTTCTCTTCCGCTGGTGGGTGAAAAGATAGGTAAAGATACATGTAGATAGATAGGCATAGAGGTGCAGCAAGGATAGTTAAAAGTAGCCTGATAAAGGTACAGACCCCATAGACATTTTGAGGCTGAAGAGGCAGTGTGTCTGTGTCTAGGACACGATATTGGAAGAGAGAGCCCATCCCTCTCTTTTCAATGCCTTTTATCTCCCCAAACGAATCAGGTACCTATTTCACACCTGGGTGGAGTGAGGAAAGTTGTGTAAAGTGCCTTTCCTAAGGACACAACGTCAAGTCAGGAAAGTGAGAAATCAATCCCGCAACCTATTGATCTTCTGTCCACTAACCTAACCTCTAACTAAGACATTCAACGTCTCATTGTGAAAACACAAATCAACAATAAGACCATAACAATCACTCTGTTACCTCAAACATAGTTTTGCAATTTAGACAGTTCATTTAGCTCCTCAGAAGTGCACGTACCAAAATTATTTATATTACCTGGTGCAGCAGGTTTTTCAGCTGGTTTTTCTGCTGGTGCAGCTGGTTTCTCAGCTGGCTTGGCTGGTTCAGGTGCTTTAGCTGGCTCGGCTGGTTTAGCCGGCTCAGCTTTAGGTGTTTCGGCTGGTTTGGGTGTTTCGGCTGGTTTAGGAGTTTCAGCTGGAACAGGTGCTTTTACTTCTGGTTCAACTGGAGCTGCCGGCTTCTCTTCCGGTTCAGCTGGCTTTTCCACCACTTCAGCCGGTTTTTCTTCTGGTTTGGCTGCTGGAGGTTCTTCCGGTTTCGTCTCTGCAGCTGGTTTCACCTGCGGTTTGGCCGGTTCCTTGTCAGGCTGTGCCGTGACTTCGATGGTGGGAGGTGGGGACTTCACCGGTACGAGTGGTTTCTTGATTTCCTTTGTCGGTGACGGTGTTTTCTCCTTGGGAGTCGGTTTCGGCTTGGCGGCGGCGCCGGGTGAAGGCGGTCTCGCCCGCGTGCTAGCCGGCGACGGTGCGCGTTTGTTCCCGGCGGCTGAAGCTGGGGACGGCGGTCTTTTACCGGATGCAGGAGACGGCGGTCTTTTCCCGGCGGATCCTGGTGTGGTAGCCGGGCTGGACTGGCGCGGGGCGGGCGGAGGTTTGGCCGCGGCTGTCGATGCGTTTCTCGGGGAGGGAGGGGGCTTGGCTGCAGCGGGGGAGGGGGTCCGCTTCACCCCGGGGGAGGGCGTTCTCTTGGGTGTGGACTGGAGAGAGATAAGACAGTGCATGTATGCAACAGTTAGTGTGTTGTTATTGTCTTGCTGTCTTGTATGTAGTTTTATGTATTGATGTAGGACCACAGGAAGAATAGCAAACAGCGTAAGCTGAAGGTAAATGTGAATCCAAAATAAGTCAAACGTACAGTGAAGAAACAGTACCAGATTGACTTTCCAATTCTTGGAAGATTCCCTGACATCTTACTTTATTATTGACCCCCTGCCTTCTCGGTAGATGATTGTTTTTTTCATGGTATATTATACCACAGCGCAGGTAGGTCTTGGAAGGTACAAATGTACGTGACATCACTTAACTCAAGCCTCCAATTGTTTATGCTTTACACTACATATAGTAGTTGGCCCTTACTTGAGTTCTCCCTACCTTCTCCGGCGGTTTGGCCTTAGCTTGGTTCTCCTTGTCCCCGTCAGTGTCTCCCTCTGCTCGCTCCTTCCCTGCAGCGGGCGGCGCGCTGCTCATGCGCAGCCGGTCCGAGCTGCGAGACCGCATCGGGGTCCGCGCCCGGCCCGCGCCGGTCGACGTGGGTCTGCGGAAGTCCCGCCGAGGCGACAAGCTGGAAATGCTGTGGTCTGATTGGCTGGATCTGGGACGAGAAGCTGCGATTGGACAGAAAAGGAGTGTTACCATGGAGACTAGTTTTTAAAAAAATTTAAAAAAGAAATGGAGTGGTCTGATTGGCTGGATCTGGGACAAGACGCTGTGATTGGACAGAAACTGAGCATTACCATGGAAACTAGTTTAAAAAAAATCTTTACAAAGAAATGGAGTTGTCTAATTGGTAGATCTGGGTCGAAAAGCTGTGGACGGACAAAAAAAACAGCATTACCATGGAACTAGTCAAATCAAGAGCAGATAATGGAACTGTAAAAAGAATTTTAGAAAGAAATGATCTGATTCGGTGGATCTGGGACGAGAAGCTGTGGACAGAAACCAAATGTTATCCTGGAAACTGTTCAAATATTAATCAAGGCCAGGCACATAATTCAACCTTAAAACAAATTTTAGATAAAAATCTGTACTCATAATAATTGCATCTTTGTTGATCAGCAACCATGATGATGGACTGAAAAGCAGAAATCCAGTGAAACTTGCTTTTGAACGTTGTGCTTGTCTGTTTCCCTGTGTCTAACATGATTAACTGTTAACTTACAGGTACATGTAGTCCAGACTGGTACACCTGTATTAGTGATTTCTTTTGTTGTATCACACAAATCTTTTAATATCCATTTACAAAGATGACTTCAAATGAGTTTTCACAAAACCACAAATTTAAGACCATGTACTGCTGCAACAATTAAGTACATGTACATTACAAAATGTAGCTTAACATAAGATTAACAATCACAAAAGAAAGGCTAAATGAAGAAGCTGAAAAACAAAACAAAATCTTATATTTGGGCCAGGATGAACTTGGCAGTAGTCTATATCACACTGTGAAAAAGTATAGCTTGCTATAAGTTTAAGATAGAAGCAATCTTGGTTTAGAAAACAGTTTCTAATACATGTCATTCCTCACCCCAACACGACTGCATTCCAAATCTAATAAAACTGTTAGTAAAACTCAATCAAACCTGTTAGTCCTGACAGACACACACACAATACCTACCTGGCTTGCTGGGCGATGGCGTACTCTCGCTAGTCGGTGTTTTGGGCGAAAACAATCGTTTTGTGACGGCCTCCGCTCGTGCCGAGAGGTTTACGGCCGACAAGGACCGCTGGCCGGGTCTGAGGGCGTCCCCGCCTATCGAGTGTAAAGAATAATGAAGTACTGGGAGGACTTACCCGGCTGCACAGGACAGAGTACAGCAGACAGCACACTACAGGGGTGTGGATAGACCACAGCACCGGGCTGAAACCTACCTGAGGATCGTGTCTATGGGCAGGGCTTGGAACTACAAATGTACACTCAAAGAATACGCCAAACAACAATTACTCAAGCAGCTGGATATGGTTTTCGAAACGGTCTGATGTTTTAGGTAAGATGTTCCATCATCTTTCGTCAGTGACAATGGTGAATTGTCAGATAGACACGAACTATTGATTGACATCTAACCTTCAACAACGTATACTCAAACTGTTAGAAGGCTTTTCTTTAAATAAATCCTCCTGCAGCTCCAGAACAAGCTGCTAGGGAGCCAAAACTCATGTTACTTCTTTCTGAGCACTAGAGCTACCTACAGTCCAAAATCTGTGACCATAAATTTGTAGCATGTCCAGAAATTTTAGACACTTTGATAATTCTTCATCATACAGCAATCCTATGTTCCAAGCCCTGCCCTTGTTATGCATCTCCATTACATACATTGTACTTACATATACTTTCAGTATTTTGTCCTTCAAATCCACAGTTATAATTATTTCAGTTGTAAGCCAATATTGGTTAATGTAGTGGCATTCCTTAACCCTTATAATAAAGAAAATAAAACAAAAGTACTACATTACTTAAAGTTTTGTTTTCAGATTAATATAATTATAGTATCCTTAAAGCCTTACACTTACAGTGTTAAGTTAGACCTAAGAACCTCAGTTAGGTTTCAACAAAAAGTAAAGTTACATATATGATAGTTAGTTTGTTAGTTGAGAAAAGAAAGGGTGAATAAGACATGCAAGCATGCAGAACTGGACAGTACAACACTTACAGCACTTACCAGAGAGTCAGGGAAAATATGGAGGGGGGGAACTTACTATGTACATGTAACAGGAGACTGGGGAACTTACTATGCACATGTAAAAGAAGACTGCCAGATTCAATGTGGTTGTAAAATGCACTTTTCTTTAAGTTTTCCTTTAGCCTTCAACATATTGCATATGGAAAGTTTGCTACATTTGTATGTTGATTATTTGTTTCTTTGGTTTTTCGTCATCACTTCACAGACTTCTTTAGATGAATTTTCAAAATCCACTGCATTATAATAGGTGGAAGATCAAATATATGTACTAACAGGCTAGCAAATAAACAGTAAGATACATGCATGCATGAGAGCTTTGGAAAAAAAGAAAACAAACCCTTGGAAGGAACCATGGCAGAACTTACCAGCATGGAGAGAGGAAAGCAGCAAGCTTGGGCTTGATAGACAAGACTTACATTTGTACATTTACACACACACAAACAAACATACACACACAAACAAACATACACACAAACACACAGCAGTCATACATGGTCTTCAAGGGGACCTGAGCACTCAATATGATGCAAGGAAACTTTAACAGGCATTCTTTGAAATGTGAAAATAGTTGCACTGATTGTCATTCCTGCAAGGCAGTTTATACATGTACCATTCCAAATCCTTCAACATATCAGCATTTACAATGTCAGGTCCAAATATTTCAAGTACCTGTAAGTAAGTCATGTACCATTCCAAATCCTATGACAAATCAGCATTTACAATATAAGGTCCAAATATTTCAAGTACCGGTAAGTTTAATTCTCCAAGATGCACAACTGAAGAGGTCATTCACAACATAGCTGAGATAGTGAGATGTAGTTGACATGGCAAGACAGTAACAGTATCAGGAAGTTCATACACCAGAGCAGAGGCACAACCCTGAGACAAGCGCTATGACAAGACAGAAAGACACACACAATATGAATATGGAAACATCATGGAAGCACATGTATAAGTGCAATATCACGTAGCAGCATTCTGTTCCTACTGAATCTACATTGTGTAGATTTGACACTTTAACCAGCATAACATTCTTAAAGGCTACAATTTTTTCGGAAGTGCAAACAATCATGCTAGTTTGTGTAGCTCACGTGAATAATGATTTGATGACCGATGTACAATTTGAACTACATGTACAAGAGTCCAAAGTGTTGAAGCAAGAAATTTCAATTTGGAACACTGAGCTCTAAAGGTTGCATAATATAGTATACAACCCCTTGGTATATGGTTAACAAAAAAGTTTGGGACTCATTCATTGTAGAATGCACATAGCAGAGGTCTAAGTTTGCTTCTGAGTGAGGTAGCCTGGGGATTAAATCTCTAATAAAGTATATAACTGGTTAAATACTTGACACAAGGAGTCAAAAGTTGACAAGTTTCTACATGTGTGAAAGAAACACGTGAGAGAAAGGTACATAAAAGTTCAATGGTCAAGGTTCACAAACGTGTAAATGCAAGAATCACCCAGAGTCTACGAAGAGCTGCTAACTAAGCACAAACAAACAATTGGATACAGTGTATTAATTACAATACTGTAGTTGGAGTGAGTTCATACTTAATACGGGATCAAGGTAAGGACATCTTGCTAGTCAAGAGGAAAAAGCTGGAGTTAGAAAAGAAGAAAAAAATCAGTTGGAAGTGAATGGAAAACATCAGTGTATGTGTAAAACGGGTAAAAAGGTGGTCAGTGGGAGGAAAATTATATTTGAGTACATGCAGATACACACCATCCCACCAGCTAGGGTTAAAGGTAAGAGTTCAACCAAGGTTAAAGTTCAACCAGGTTAAAGGTCACGGGATCACTAAGGAGGTCACCTAGAAGAGATTAGAGCAAGTGATTTTGTTCAGTCCATGCACTAAGTTAGAGATTGAGGGTTTGGTTAGTTCATGCTCAAATTTCAGTCATAGAGAGTAACACATCAGGATTTTACAATACATGCAGTATTGGGGGACAAAGGTTAAATGGTGGTCAAGGGTTACAGGTCACACCATCAGGTCAAGGGTTACAGGTCACATAATGGATGTTACAAATAATGAACATGAACACAAATATGACATTTACATTTTACATTGGGGTTAATCAGTGGGAAATGGTGATAGGACAATGAAAAATAAATTCAATGTATGCATTATGAAAATTTCTGTTTTTCTGGGACAAATATCATTCAAAATGTCATAAATAGTGATTATTTGTTCAAATCAAAATTGTCAATGTGAATCATATCTTCCAATTGCATCTCTATCTTTCCTTGCAAAACTGCAAAGATTGCCTTAAGGGTTTCTTACGGATTGAAATTTTACATTTTCATGGGAAAATTTTCATACCAACATAAATTGAAAGCCATCACCTGACAACAGTATACACATACATGATGGATACATGAAAGTCATCCAGAGACAGCAAAGCAAGCAGGGTGCTATAAAGCTTCTACACACAGAACATGACTTCAGGACAAGACAAGGCAGATGACTACATGTACAAGACTTATATAAAACAGTGCAGACACAGACACATGACAATGAAGTGCAACCTGTCTGACAGAGAGCTAGCCATCCGGATTTTAAAACCACCGTTACAAAATATATCTTTCATTAGCATGTCACGCTGTCTGGTAAGTGAAAGGTAGAAATGTGGAGATTTTAAGGCTGGTGCCAGTCAGTCTGCACAGGCCAAACGTAATTGTTACGTTCATAAATGTTGCAGAACACTGCAGCCCTTCTCCCAGGGGAAACTGTTCGGGTATGCTGGCTCAGGTCTCATTGCATTTTAGAGACAGGTCCTCCTTAAATATATATCTGCCACTTTGGCTAAATCTACGACAGAAAATTTCCCCCAATTAAGGGTGACAGAGAAAGGCATCAGATTTGTGGATTAATTGCTATCGGATTGAATACATGAATGTGTCAAGATCTATATTCAACAAAATGCAATCAATGAATGCCTCAAGGCATTAACTGGTATTTTGAAAATCTGATTGTTCATTTGGTAACAAGTGATGTGACATGTTTCTGAATGGGTGCACGTACATTGTACAAGTATGTCTACATAAGACAGTGCACGGAACAGATATGCCCAATGTAAAGAATCCTAATTCTGATTGAATCTGAACACAACGATGTGTATGCAAATGGGTCAGACTTCGTGACAGGGGAATTGGGTTGAGACGGACACACACAACATTGACGTTGAGAGGAAATGTTACGGGACGCACGTGGACAATGTACATGGATAAGACCGGTACCACTTCTGGAGGACAAGACACCACAGACAACAAGCATGGGGATGATTGCTTGCTCACTTATTGGTACAACATCATCACTTGAATCTTGTTGAGGGAAAGGCATTAATTTTGTTATGATTACTTCCAGGAATCAGAGGAGGGAATCAGCGTTTAGTTCAAGAAACACACACAGACAACACCACAAGGAACTACCAACAGATGAATGCCAGCGTGGGAAGGGAACTAACAGTGAAGGGGGGAGTGGGTAGGGGGGCACTGCAGGCCTAACAGTTAGTCGTTGACCGGATCTCTGACACTTACCAGGTGACTTTAGAAAGGAGTGAGTCAGCGTTTATTTCAGGAAACACACACAGGCAACACCACAAGGAACTACTACATGTAACAGACGAATGCCAGCGTGGGAAGGGAGAGGGGCAGAACAGTTAGTCGTGGGGCGGTTGGATCTCTGACACTTACCAGGTGACGTTAGAGAGGAGGGAATCGGCACTTATTTCTGGAAACACACACAGACAACACCACAAGGAACTACTAACAGATAAATGCCAGCGGGGGAAGGGAGAGGGGAGGGGGGCAGAACAGTTAGTTGTCGGGCGGTTCTCTGACACTTACCAGGTGACGTTAGAGAGGAGGGTGCGCTGCGCTGGGACAGGCTGGTCGTGGACGTCGAGAGACGTTTGGTTATGGCTTCCGCTCGCGCCGAGAGGTTCATGGAGGACGTTGACCTCTTGGCCGGAAACAGCTGTTCTTTTCCATTAGCTAATAAAGTGGGACATAAGATGGGCACAGGCCAAAGGTCACATCGGGTCACCTTCGAATTCGTCCTTCTGTGGTACTACATCATGTGCTACAAGGTCGTGAACACCAGGGGTGAGTGACCTTTGACATGGTTGTTCTAATCACCAGGGAGCAGGAGAATTATGGGTAATCTTTGACCTTGGGGTCACATTTAACAGGTTGTAGGATTTTTGCGATTAGGCAGAGGAGTTAATAGTTGGGACCAGTGAGGCTGAGGATTCGCTGGCATTTTGGCACAAAAAAGTTGCAGCAAGGAATATTGGCTGGCAACGTTGGGGCAAAACACGGTAATTGAACAAACGGATAATGAAACAAAAAATGTATACGAACACATATCACACTGCTGTTATACATGTATGTAGGAGTAGCACAAAATGTGGAGAATGTTCCAACGTTGCAGAAATTCAGAGCGGAATACTTGCGAATATGGCACATAATATATATGCATGTAGATGAGCGTGGTTCTATGGCACATTGGCAGCATAAAACTAAGTACATGGATGTATAACCGATACAGGACAGTTTACAAAAGCAGTGGCAAAAGGTTTAAACTGGTATCTGATTCAACATTAAGGCTTACATTTAAGCCATACAGATTTGAATGGAACGAAGAGCATAAAGGACAAGCATAGACACCACAATATGCTGTGCCAGCAATGCAAAGGACAACTGCATCAAACTAAAGCTTATGAAAGGCAGTGACATCACATGACTATGCAGCAGCCTAGCTCAGCAGGAGATCGATCAGGGTTGACGATAGTCTCATGAAAGGGTGTACAATAAATCTTAGAGGGTGGGGCGGGGGCAGGGGTTCAAATGTGCATGTGCGTTTGGAGTTTTGCCAAAAACATAGGACAATTGACTATGATTTAACTTAGAATTCAATACATCAGCAAGGACATTTGGCCTTTCCTGTACTGTAGGTGGTGGGGAATTTGGACAGATAAGAAGAAAAATGGTACATAATATACAGTCCTGCTGGGGTACATTGTACTTTTGTGGGGATGAGTGTGTACATTACATGTAAAGACAAGTACTAAGTAACTTGTTTTTTGTCGGCTGTAAAATAGCTAAAAAATGGGTGTGGCAGCTGAGGGAGTTTACAGTCTGAGTACTGTATAGTGCATACTTGTGTCACATGCTAAGTCTCTACCAGAGCATTTTTACAGAAAGGTGTATCATGTGAACGATTACACAGTACAGACTTACACTACTACATTATACAGAATCTGATGACTAGTATGACACACATAATATTATACATCTTTTGAATGGAGTAACATCAACATAGAAAGAGGAAGGAACACCATAGAAAGCTACAAGGTCAGAGGCAAGTCATACACTTTACCTTAACATCCTAACATCCTTCCACGCAAACTAGAACTGAAACTTGTGCTGCATTTTGAGTCTTGTGCATTATCATTTTTCTATCTTTCTTCTTCAACTAGAACTTGCAATTCTTTCTGCACATCACTGTCATAACTAGTTATCTGGCACTTGTATGTAAATGTCAACTGACACTGCTTCTTGGCCTTTATGATTGTGTATATCATTGTCAATCCTGCATCTGCTAAAAAATCCAATCACTTTCTAGCAGTGACTGCCCAGTTCTGTTAGCTGTAAGAGCATGTAAGACTCCCTCAACCAACAGAGAAACACCATTTCTACGTGCTCGACTAATCACAAGGGTGAAAACATAATCACCGTGCCTTCCCACATCCTCACACCACAACTTGTCAATCACCATCCAACAAAGACTCTGATTGGTCATGTTTAAAGTTAAAAACTTTTGATCCAATCAAAGAAGTCCTCTCACCAAGAGCTTTCCACCAGTCACTCTGGTCTTCGTCAGTACACAGACCTAGCGAGGCTTGTCACGTGGCTTCTTTGTAGTGTGACGTCATCACTGGGTCAAAGGCAGCTGGTAGACGATGTTGGCTCCTGTCGTGGTTGAATGAAGGGTGATGGGCCATGATGGTCACGTGACAAGCCTCACTGGGTCAGTCTACTGACAAAGACCAGAGTGACTGGTCGAAATCTCTAGGTGAGAGAACTCCTTTGTGTTGGATCAAAAGTTTGAAACTCTCAACATGGAACTACCAACACAGATGAACTTTCATGATAACACTGGCCCTGACCTGTCAATCATCACCCAACAAAGACTCTGATTGGTCGGTACAAACCTGGAGGAGAGGCTCCAAAAAGGGCAGACAGTTGAGGGGAGGTGACATTTGATCCCCAGGACCATCGCTTCTGCTGTTGCTGGTTTTGTTGCTGCTGCTGCTGCTGTTGCTGCTGCTGTGCCTGCGCTCTCTGGTAACCTTCGTCTGTCTTCTTCAGCGCGGCTTCGCGTCGCTCCTGCGGGTCAAAGGCCAAAGGTCGGGGTTAGTTTTAACAGCTGACTACAAGCAGAAAAATCCTGTTGAGAGGTTATGTCATATTAGTTTGTAATTGTTAATAGGTAAACACTTTAGTTACGATAAATTAAAACAAGTAAAAACAGCAGAAAATTCAACTACACTACTTTAGTCAAGTCATTAAAGTTTGCAAATTGCATTATTATTATTAAAAAATTCACATGATGCAATCATCAAGTAATTTTAATATCAGCAAAATCAGACAATATTTTATCAAGCGTTCGAAACGTGTCTTAGTGCACCGCTGTAAGGTCAAAGGTCAAACCTGGTTTAGCCAGGACCATGCCGGTTAGGTGGTATGATGGGAAATATTAGTGCAATGGAACATAACAAGACTGGTTAAAACACAAAAGTTTGGATTAGTGATTCAGCTTAACACAAAACACACCAAGCTGGCATCAACCGCAACATGCTTTGTTAGCATTGCACATTACACCAAGCTGTGTTGCTATATACAGTATTTGTAAAGTACAAATAAGCTAAACATACAAAATGTATAACATGCAACAACATGCAACCCACACCTGTATCATTCTGGCCTTAGTAGAAGCTTTTAAAAGTAGACTCTCACTATACAGCACAGCTTTAGTGTGGCTTTACGGAATTTCTCAGATTTCCTTGTGTGCCAATTTGATGAATTTACTCAAACTACCAAAGTTTTATGTACATGTAGATGTTGTGCAGTCTCTTTGCTCTATTTATCAATGATTGTGAAGAACAGACACAATGATTTTGGGAAATGCAAGACTGAAGTCCAGCTTTTCATGGTCCAAAATGTAGAAAGATATACAATTTGGTAATACTTTGTTAAAAATGATATGAAAGCAACAAGATTTTAGTGGGAAAAAATCTGTCAGCCCAAATCAAACATTTTTAGTTTTTGCTCAGGTGTGGGAATCACTGAGGACCAATGTTTGGATTAACATCACAAGCCTCAGTACTTTCTAAAATCAAACTTTCAGCTGCCTTTCAAGAACACGGATTCTTTTTTTTAATGACAAAAACTCCAAAACATTTTGAAAATGCTTTCAAAGTAATAGAAGGCTAAGGCTTGAATGCCTGCCAAAAATGGCCCTCAGCTTGTTAAACAAATTTATCTACTGGTATTATCTACAGTGAAGGAACAACAAATGGACTAGCTTTGTAAGACCAGCCACAAAATTGCTACAGAGGCCCCTTTTGGTCCAGGAATATAGTATAATAACATAGTTTCTTGCGTATAGTTGTATAGCCAGTCAGCCAGGTGAATATAGGCTATAAAATAGAATGGACAATTTACCAATTTGAGAACTGTATCATAGAAGTCTCTGATCAACGAATGGTTTGACTGTAAATACTTCTATTACATGGCCAATGGAGTGACTGTTTATTACTACCAATAAGTTGTCACAGTTAAGGCTGAAGTAATTTGATGGTCTAAGTGTATGTAACGCATGGTTTTACTGTTTCCAGAACTGCACAAGGCAGAAACTAATTTCTTTCAAATTCATGGGACAGCTTCCTTCATCTATCCAGCAAAAATGACAACAGCTATAATGTTACTTACTGGCAACACTGTAGCTGTTATTACAATGCTAACCCATTGGCTACATGTCTGCACACATTGCTACACCCTTCAGTCACAGCGTTAGCACACCACACAAGTCAGTACTTTCAGTTTCAGCATGCCACAGTGCAAAGCCATGCAGAAGCACAGGTAAAAAAGCAGTGCATGCGGCCAGCCAAAAGCGTGCATGGATAGTGAGAACGGACCAGCTGGCCCCAAAGTGTGAATGTGCGCTGTGAAGCTGGTGAAGTGATGGCAGGGAGGGGGGAGGGAGGGAGGCAGAGGGGACGGTCCTGGAGCACTCTCGGGAGGGAGACTCAGATTCTTCCCGTGTATGTCTTCTTCGAAAAATTTATTGCTACCTTTTTAAACAGGTACTACAAATAAGATAGCTTCATAACATTGGTTCCACTCATACAAGGTATTACTGTTTCAGACTTTCGTGTATCACCAAATCCCCTTCTGCTACTAAGTGCCAAGGATGAGATACAGACAACCCCCCTTCCCCAAAACTAGCACTGCCCAAAACAATACTTCTGCCCTGATGAGTATTCCTGAGTTCCACACTACTGGAAAGGATCGCAGCCCCTAGTGAGTTTAGCCACAACTGCAGTCATTTGTACTTGTCAAAAAGAGCCAGGGGAATTTTCCCACCTGTCTGTCACTACCTGTCTCTTCAGTAAGCTTTTAGCTGGTTCAGGATCCTTCACTTTTACTTACTAAGTATAAGTTCTCCCTCCGGAGTGCCCCAGGACCCCCCAGCCAGCGCCCCTGGGGTGGGATGGGGGCAGGAATGGGTGAGGTGCCCGACACGTTCCTTCAGCACCATGTTGCCCCCACGGGCGGGACGGTGCTCTAACCCGTCGGCACCGGTCGACTGGCAGCCAAGAGAGAAGGAAGTGACACGTACCCAGACGGCTCTCATTCTCACCATTTCCTCTTGCAGGCGCTCGGCGCGGCGCTCCTCCACGTGCTGGTGGCGCTGTTCGTACTTCAGGCGGCTGTCGGCCATTTTCCGTCGGCGTTCCTCCAGCTGCTGGTCCCGAAGCATGCGGGCGCGCTCCTCTTTTTCTCTCAGTGCTGCTGCATCGAGAGCTGTGTACATTCAAAAATGCAAATTAGATCCTGATTACACAAATGTAGTTATGTCAAGCATCATTTAAGCTACCAAAAGTCATGACAATCCATCACCCTGTTCTTGAGTTCTCCTCCATCCATTTTTTTTAAAACAAATTCTCCTGCAGTTCCAGAACTAGCTGGTAGGGGTCCCAAAGTTATGTCGCTTCTTCCTGAGCACAAGAGCTTACCTAACATCCAAAATTTGTGACTCTAGCATGTCCAGATCATGAGACAACAAAACTGGAAGTTCTGCTGCAGTACTATAATGGCCTTCTGGCAAAGAATAATTTCATCAGGTTGGTAGAGGTAAAGATATTGGAAGTTTCTTTTCCACAACCAGTAAAGCGCCACCTACATTACTATGTACATGTATAGCAGCAAGAAGCAGTACTCCAGTCAGAAGCTCTATAATTGTGTAAGATGACTGGCATACAATGTACCTCGTGACTTTTAAAGATCTGTTTTGTGCTGTGTAATTATATTACACAGCTTCCACACACATGTAACTTTACATGTACAGTTACTGTAGCAATCAGCAATAAGTTTGAAAAAAATTGTAAGAATATCATGTGTATGACAACACTGTATGAAAATCAGCCATGGGTCATGTTGAAATATCTACCTACATTGTACATGTACATGCAACTGCACAGTGAACAAAGCTCTTTCACGAACACGATTCCCCCAATATAGGCTGGAGTTTGGGGTTCACCAATCCAATTTTCTACTGGCTGGTCATTCCATTACCCAATGTGGAATGTTTGTCAGGCTAAATTGGGAGGCAAACCAATCACCTCTAGACCAATGGGTTGAAAAGCTAGATAATTGTATGACCTAAGGACATCGCGTCAGCAAAATTCCCTAGGTTTTGAATGCTTGGGAAAAGGTACACATGTAAAAGAACACTATCAAAGGCAAACCACACAGTAACTTGCATGGGCACCATGTAAGTGATACATTGTTGTCACTTTTGTTTTATCATAAAAAGTGGAAATTATTCTTAATTTCGTCAATCAATGTCATAACATCATAGTATGTCAGCAGAACATACTGCACTTACGAGAAATCCAGATTTTTTCATTGGATATCTGTTCAACATTGCACTAGAATTTTGCCTGTTGCAGACGATATCTTTTACAACACAACATAGTTACTTAATTTTCTTAAAAATTATAAAGAATTAGTGAACACAAGTTACATAAAGCACTGAAACATGATATATTGTGAACAAACATAACACTGTAACATTGAAATAAAGACAGCACAGTTTCCGTGTCTGCCTACCGAGCTTCTGGCGCATCTGTTCCTGCCGTGCTCGGACTGCTTCGAACCGTTCATCGCGCGACCTTAGCGTCGAACCATCCAACACTGCAAACCGCCACCGCCATGCAACATGCAGGTTAGTCAGCGAACCCAAAACCGGGCAAAACCAGGCAAAACTATCATGCATTAACCATAACGCCATGCAAAGTTAGGAACTAAACATGATCAAAATGCAAGGTAAGAAAAGTAAACATGATCAAACTGTAATAGTTAATGGTAACTCATTGTTACAAATGACACTACATGATGTTAATGATTTTCGTATCAATTAAAAAAGGTTAGCAAACTAAACATGATCAAAATGCAAGGTTAGAAAACTAAACTTGATCAAACTATAAACTATAATAGTTAATGGTAACTCATTGTTAAAAATAACACTACATGATGTTAATGATTTTTGTATCAATGAAAAAGGTTAGCAAACTAAACATGATCAAAATGCGAGGTTAGAAAACTATAATAGTAACTGTTAATGATAACTCATTGTTAGAAATGACACTACATGATGTTAATGATTTTTGTTTCAATGAAAATGGTTAGCAAACTAAACATGATCAAAATGCAAGGTTAGAAAACTAAACATGATCAAACTATAATAAATAGTTAATGATATTAACTCATTGTTAAAAATGACACTACATGATATTAATGATTTCTGTATCAATGAAAAATGGTAATAAATGAACCTGAAGATGAAAAACTATTACTGGGAAGTTAAACTTGACTCTAAGGATAAGTAAGTTCCTGTCTAGCTCTTACCACCACCACCTTTGCATCACCAGGATTCAAACTGTCAAATTGTTTTTCCTACCTTCAGCTGGTTGCCAAGGAAACCCACCTGGTTGCCCGGGTAACCTCGGCACAGGTGACGTGTGGCGTGCAGTGCCCTTTCCTGCTGACGTAGGCCGGTCGGCTGACTTGCTTCTTTTGCCTGCGGCTGCAAGGAGAAGAAACAGCTCATTTACTACGTGTAGATTTAATACAAATTTGGTGCCAAATGGCTCTCTTAGCAGGCTGGAGGTTAAAACGCTAGAATAACCACAGCATTAACCAGATATTGACAAATTAAAGGAGTTAAAACCTCGATGCTGCGGGATTGCTGCCTAACCCAGTACAAATTTGGTGCCTTAGTAAACTTAGGATTAAAAAGATAGCATAACCAGATATTGACCAAGGAGTAGATTGATAATCCACACTGTAATAAATCAAGTCGTCCTTCCTCCAAGCTGGTCCGTACTGATAATTATATCATCGCTCCCCCCGAGGCAGGGTAATACCAGGGATGGGATTATATGGCCCTGGGTATCAGGTCAGGTGGTCGGGGTTTGCCGGGAAATCTTGTCATGTATGGGATGGAAATACTACCTGCATTAAAGCAGGGTACTTTATTAATTGGTGCAGGTAAAATTGGGGCTGTGCAGGTATTTCTGATGTCTAATACTTGCACCTACATGTAACCTAACCTTCACACTAATGGAGATCCTTAACAAACAAACAAATACACAAACCTGTACCAGTACAGATAAAATTGAAGCTGTGCAGGCATTTCTGATGTCTGCACCAGTCCATGTAATGAGTTTATGCGTTATACACATGTAGGCGTACAAATGTATAGGGTAATACCAGAGATGGGATTATATGGCCCTGTGTATCAGGTCAGGTGGGCCAGGGTTTGCTGGGAAATCTTGTCATGTATGGGATGGAAATACCACCTGCATAAGCAGCAGGTTGGTAGAATTGGGGATGTTCAGGTATTTCTAATGTCTACCTGCACTGGTCCATATACTGGGTACATGTATATGCAGGTTAGTGCAGGTAAAATTGGGGCTGTGCAGGTATTTCTGATGTCTACCTGCACCTACATGTAACCTGCACCAGTCCATGTACTGGGTATATGCAGGTTAATGCAGGTAAAATTGGAGCTGTGCAGGTATTTCTGTTAGTTCTGATGTCTACTATATCTAACCTGCACTGGGGCATGTACTAATAATGCAGGTAAAATTGGATCTGTGCAGGTATTTCTGATATCTACCTGCACCAGTCCATGTACTGCATTGACTGTTTGTTACTACATTAAGTATAAAAGAAGTAACGGCAATGGTTTCTGTACAGTTTTTAGTGTCATCAATATTTCCTGAATTCTGAGTCCTGCGGGTTAAATAATTTTCAATGTTGCCTGCGCCAGAGCATGTATGCAGAAACAAGTATTTCGAGCCCTGAGTCTTCATAGTGCTCAGTAATTAGTAGAAATGAAAATGTCAAACGTATGCTGGTTTGACAGAGGACTGCCAGCAATCAAATCATTAGCAAAGCCCTGTTCTGGAGTCATCTGTGATGGGATAAGGAGGGTGTTGATTATGGGGGACCAGTAAATCGATCTGATGCAATATTGGGAGGTTTTCCCTTGCATAGAGGCTCAACAGTGACTAGCCTATATAATGCAACATATTACAGTCTATCTACGACTCAAAGAATAATCATAGGATATTGGAGTTTTCTTTTACAAAACCAGATGAGAGACATTACTGGTTGTGTAAAAGATTATTCCAGTATCCAATGTTGTACCAACCTGATGAAATTATTTTCAACAGGAAGTGTTCACTATACACAGTACGAAAAACACCAATGGATATTTTAACGATAAAAACTGAAAGAAACAACATTTTAAACCAGAGCTCTGCGTTGTGATTGGCTGTAGATGTCATGTGACTAACGAGGCCTATCTGTACTATACAGGGGAACAATCTAAAGCCTGATTAGAAGAATTGAAAATCACTATCAACACAGATTGGAATTGGACTTCCTTGTCTAGACATGGATCCAGTAATAGAGAACAGAATTTTTTTTTTCCTCAGGCTCAATACTAACTGAGAGGGTTGACTGAATCCTGGTATTTTCGTAAGTCAGACAATTCTGAAGATCTGAAGCTTGCATGCTACATCTTTTCACCCAAACCTTATTTGATAAGATACAGAATGTAATTCAAACTTATTTGGTTGCCAAATTACATGTAGGTAGGTATCCAATACTCATCACTAAGTCTTGGGGAGGATATACATGTATGTTGTTGTATCCAGAACTGTGCTTTATTCAGAACCATGATCAGGCACGGTCCTGGAAAGTCCATGAAATTGGAGCAAATCTAGAGTCTTGAATAAGCCGAGACTATCTAGAACTGTGCCTGATCCTAACCTCAACCTACTCGGGCACAAAACTATATAGCTAGATACGCATAGTTCTGGATATACATGTACAATAATACATAAAACATAGTACATGTACAGGCATTCAAGATGTCAAAATTTGCAAATGCGTGCCCATGACATATCACAGCGTTCTTTCAGACTATTCCCTGCCAAATGACTTCCATTCCCTGGAGATAACCTTCACTTGACCTTCAGCGAAAGACATTTCAACCTCCCAAGATTAGGGCCAAGAAGGAAGGTGAGCCAATTCCCAAGGAGCGAGATCTCCTCTCGGCGGCCAATACTGCAGGATCTTCAGACATCTGCCAAGACGTCACTTGGGAGATGCACTTGTGTGACAGGAATATCGAGGGGCTAACACTTCGGGATTGCATCATAAAAAAGGAGCAGCACTTACATGTAGATTCCCAGTGATGGCATTGCAGACATGCCTGAGGCAAATACTAAAATACATGTACATGTACTGGTTGGGTAAAAACTTAAAAAATCAAACATTCTGTATCATACTGATTGTTCCGTCATAAAAAGAAGCTGCACTAGGATCCCTACTTAGTAGCTGTTACTTCACTACAATGTACATTGGTAATAATGTGCTAACATATTGGCAACTTAAAATCAAAATGTTCTATCATTTTTCTACAGTGTGCTTCCAGGCTAATATTGAATAGCAATATATTTACTCACAACCACTTGTTTGGCAAGAGCTAACAATGATTGTCTGTTATCTCGTATCTTTATCAGGGAATTTAACGGTTTTTATCCTTGCAAAAATGTCATTAAAGTAAACCCGGAGACTGCAATAGATAATACATAATTTTTCCTCTACAAATATTCATATACAATGTGTGGGGTTCACTGAATATTCTTCACACTGGCGACAGACCTGCCTAAGATGAAAGCATTTACCCTGTAATATTGGCTAATCTGTGACAAGCCCAGTTCTAAGACCTGACTGTCCGGTACATCAATCCACACAGGCTCCGCATCGTCTGGCCTCCTTAGCCTTCCATCAGTGCTTCCTTCAGGAGTTCATCAGGTTGGTGAATGACTGAATAGCAAAGTTCTTTATTCACAACCACTCTTGTTTAACACAAGCCGACATTTCCATGACTGTCATATTCATCATCAGGGTAGTTAGGACTGAATTTAATGGTTTTAATCCTTGCAAAAATGTCATTATAGTTAAACTTGGAGGCAGCAATATTATTTCCCTTCTATTCGTATAAAATTTGTGGGCTTTATTGAATATTCTTGCTGAACCAAAATCACATTGGCGACAGACCTGTGAATTTCTTGCTGAAGATCCAAGCATTTACCCTGTAATATTGTCTAATCTGTGACAAGCCCTGTTCTAAGACCCGACTGTTGGGTACATCAATCCACACAGCCTCCGCATCGTCTGGCCTCCTTAGCCTTCCATCAGTGCTTCCTTCAGGAGTTCCTTTATCAGCTTTGCCTTCTGCCGGCGCGAGGTTCAGGATCATCCATCTTATAACTGTCTGCTTACGAATTATCATACGAGGCACAGTTATAAAGCCTATGAATAAAAATGTTGTGTTTCTTGTTTCCCGGCCGACCCTAGAAAAAACTGCCGACCCTAGTCTTTTTCGGGGTGAAACCCAGCAAGGGGAATTAATTTTTTGACTTGAATTCGAGCTGGTTAATCTTTTCTAGCTCCATGATCTGACACCTGAGTGATGAAATGTTGTACAATAGATTTTCCAACATTGATATTGAAAATATAAGTGTCCTCATGCAAGTTTTACAGTATTGTATATGTTGGATCACTAGCGATCGCCAAAGTCTAATAAAAGAAAGAAAAACATAATTCCTACATACTGACCTTAGTTTTTTCAGCACTGAAACAGGAAACACAACATTATTTTCCCTCGGCCTAACTCAGTAACTGTCTCCTCAGGAATTAGCGGTCCCTCCAAGTCTGCAAGCTCAAAAGGCAACTTCTCAGGGGAGTGGAGAGAACCCACAGATTATTCACAATTGCTTTATCAGGGCTTAAAATACTGACTGTATATGCAGGTTAGTGTAGGTAAAATTGGGGCTGTGCAGGTTTTTCTGATGTTTAGGTGCACTTAACTTGCACTGGTCCATGTACTGTGTTTGAATTTTTATTTGCTGCATTCACTGTAACCACCTGATAAATATAAAAGAAATAATGCCAAAAATATGATTTTTTGAACAGATTATAGTCTGATCCACACATTTCAAAGTTTGAGTGATGCAGTAAAATTTCTCTGGTGCAGGTTATTTTCAATGTTACCTGAACCAGTGCAGAAAAGAGGATTTCAAGCCCTGTTTTGCTGATGGCACACACACAAAAGAGGTTGAGACTAGCAAGCAGGGACAGTTTTCCATTGACGTCTTGTTCTGTGCTAATTAAGATGCCCCATTTGAATAACATGATTTGCCTTTTAAGTGTGTATTCTATAGGATGGGTAGAAAATTGCCTGTGGATGCACTATACTGCCTTAAGTTAATGGAGTCACTTCTTAAGTGTCAGCAAAAGAAGGAGGCTTGAGAATGAGAGACTCAGAGAGCGTTCCTTTGCTCCTTGAAGTGTGGCAATGAAAACATTCCAACAAAGACGAGAAGGATGGGTTTCTACATTTCCATAAAATGTAACCTCATCTTGTGCATCCGTATACTATGTACATGTAATGCCTGTGTTACAGAACACAAGCAAGCAAGTTTGACCCTTCTCAGTTTTCTATAT